AGACATGATCTCCCTGTTGATAGGATTCAGATCCAGTTGACGCCAGACCCAGAAACCATAAGGCCCCTAAGAGGAACTAAATCAGCCAACTCCTAGCCACCTGCAAGCTGACAAAAATAGCTCCAGGAATTGGTGACCAAATGCATTGTGATCACCAGAGCATGCTCCACAGGCTGATGAACAGGTTGCCTAAGCCCTGTAGCTGCAATAGGTTCTTGGAACTCTGTACTTGTAGAAAACATGTTTTACAGTACATGTTTTCCTGGATAAGTTTCACCAGGTACAGACCCCGCACCCTCCCTGAACAGCCCCAAACAACAGAAAAATAATCTTTTTCTGCATTCTTTCCCTTAATAAACTACCTGCCTGAAGCCATTAGGTTGCAGGTTTCACCCACTCTGAAGTTGAGACCTGGCCCAGCTAACCCCAAAGTAAACTCTTGCTTTGCCAGAGACCTCTCCATTTCTGTTGCGAGGTGATCCCAACCCCTGCCACCTTTTACTCTAACACTTGTAGCACCCACTGGCCTGGAACTCGCTATGTAGACCAGGCTGGCCTCAATCTCAGAGAGATCTGCCTGCCTCTGCCTCCCAAGTGCTGGGACTAAGGTGGTGCGTCACCATGCCCGGGAAGACATCTCTTTCATTCAGATTGTATGACTAAAGTCCCTGTTCTTTGCTGTTGCTTTTAGAAGTTGTCCACTTGTCTGGAATCATGGTCCCATCTTCAAAGCCAGCAACAAATGGCATGCCGAGTCATCATCTGCTCTACCATGTTGTACTCTTCTTCCTCCCCTCCTGTACTTGTTTGTTTATAGATAGGGTTGATAGCTCAAGCTGGACCGACTTCCATTTTTAAGGGCTCACATCACAGGGAACCTGCCAGATAATACAGCATCATACCAGCATTCTATGGTCACTAATTACCAACCTTAATTCCACCTGTAACCTTGATTGCCTTACCTTGTGAAGTTAGTATCCAGAGGATTGACATCACAGAAAAGAGTGAGGGTCCCTTGCTTGGGGCAGGGAGAGGTGTTTTGTCTGTTGTGTCCTGGTGGAACAGCATCTGGAATTTTGTTTTTCAGCATAGTACCCTCAGGATATGGCCCTGAAAACCAGGCAGCTCTCCCACGGGTGATTTATAACATGCTTCTTTGCAACTGGTTTTTTTTTTTTTTCTTACAGCATTGCACACTTCCTTAGTTTTTTCCAAAGATTTTGGTTTACCTGTATTTGTCCGGAAGTCACTTAGCATTGATGAAGTAAGTGCAAGACTTTTGTTTTTTCTCTTCTGTCTTCCCTTTGGTAGAGTGCCTCTTTTTCTTACTCACATTTTTGTTTATTTCTTGTAGTTTCGGGACTGTAGAGAAGAAGCCCTAAAATTTTTATATATTTTTGTAGAAAAAATTGGCCAGAAGGTCATGCATTATTCTCTTGATATTAAGGTAAGGAAGGGAAAAGTCAACCTCATGTACATCATCATATGTTTTAACTTATGTTCTTGTTTATGTCTTTTTTTTATTGTGGAGTTTACTTATTTGATTTTGATTGTGTTAGAAATGAAATGTACTCTCCATTATTTATTTTAATTTTATTTTTTAAATTTTTTTGTCTTTTTGAGATAGGGTCTCCCTGTAGCCCCAGCTGCCCTGGAACTCACTATGTAGACCAGGCTGGCCTTGAACTCACAAAGATCCGCCTGCCTCTGTCTCCCGAATGCTGGGATTAAAGGTGTGTGCCACCACACCTGGCTATTTATTTTAATTTTAATAAGACTTGTCAGAAGAGCTGTTTTGATAACTATGTAACTTGATAAATTTTAGGATACGAGATAAATAATGCCTTTCCTAAAATGATATAGCAAATTGGATTGGAGAGATGGCTCAGAGGTTAAAGGCACTGGCTGCTGTTGCACAGGACCTGAGTTCAGTTCCTAGCACCCAGTGGTGGCTAACAACCATCTGTAACTCTGGATCCAGGGCATCTGACGCCCTCTTCTGACTTCTGTGGGTATTACATGACACAGGTGCACTTATATACATATAATACAAATAGTAAACTATTTTAAAAAAATTAATTGGGGTTTTTTAATTGTGGGGAATTTCCAGAACACTTTAAAAGATAATTATACAGAACTCTGTCGCTAGGTGGAGTCCATGTTTTCTATGTTTTTGTGTTTTTTTTTGTTTTGGTTTTTTTTTTGGTCTTTTTTTGAGACAGGGTCTCCTTATAGCCCCAGCTGACCTGGAACTCGCTATGTAGACCAGGCTGAACTCACAGAGATCCGCCTGCCTCTGCCTCCTGAGTGCTGGAATTAAAGGCATGCACCACCATGCCCAGGTTTTTTTTTTTTTTTTTTTTTTTTAACAGTCTGAAAATTTGAATCTATGCTTCAAAATAAATAAGCCAAAAAATCTCAGTGGTAGGCGTAGTTAATATCTGTAAAATGAGTTGCAATTTAAAGGCTCCTTAACATTCAGCTTGTCTCATTACCTTTCACCAGAATTCTGGGAAGAAGGGACCCAGTGACTTTCGGATGCTAGGCAAGTTCCCCTATTACTGAACTTATCCCTAGCCACATCTCTGAGTTCCTTTGGTCACTTTGTTTAGAGACAGGGTTTCACTATAGCCCTCTTGGCCTGGAGCTTGCTTTATAGACCAGGCTGGCCTGTGCCTCCTGAGTGCTAGGATTAAAGGTGTGGGCTACCACTCTTAGCTACTTGAGATATTTTACCTTTTCTTTTTCAGAGTCTTGAAACCCCGATATGTATGTCAATTAGCCACCCTTCCTTTCTTCCCTCCTTTCCTTCCCTTTTTCTCGTTTCCTTTCTTCCCTTCCCCCTTCTTCCCTCCTCCCCTCTTCCCCTCCCCCCTCCCCTTATTTTTAATTTTATGTGTCTGTGTTGTAAGTACACTGTGTCATGCAATGCTTGCAGAGGCCAGAAGAGGGCATTGAATCCTCTAGCTTGGAGTTACAGATGGTTGTGAGCTATCATGTGGGTGCTGGGAACCAAACCCAGGTCCTCTGCAAGAACAGCAAGTACTCTTACTTGCTGAGCCATCTCTCCAGCCCCCTTGGTCACCTTTTTATGCTTGCTTTCTGTCTCTGTCATACCTTTCTTTGATATCAGTGTATTGCCTAGGCAGATTTCAGTCTCCCATGCTCAGGTGATTCTCCCACTTTAGTCTGTGAGTAGCTGGGACTCTAACTTGTTTCTTCTATATAATCAGGAATTTATGTAGGGAGAAATGATCAATTTTTTTTTTCTATTTTTTCAAAATCTTGCTGAGCCATCTATCTGCCTTTAAAAGAAATTGCATTTTTTCTAGTTTGTTCTCCATTGCTGTGACAGAACACTCTGACCAATACCAACCTAGGGAGGAAAGGATTTATTTGGCTTATATCTCTCATGTCACAGTTTATCAGGGAGCCCAAGGTAGGAACTCAGGGCAGGAACCTGGAGGCAGGAGCTGGAGCACAGGCCATGGAGGAATGCTGCTTACTGGCTTGCTCCCCTGGCCCCTGCTCAGCCT